ACCTGAGATGAAGTTGGATGCTTAACGGACTGAGCCACCCAGGTGCCTCCAATTTTAGTAATTTTAGATATTAAGTATCAGCTCAACAAATTTTTTAAAATGTGTAAACCAAACACATAACTGGGCTGCGACTGACCCACGGCTACCACTTTGAGATCCCTGCTACGAAGGCATGTCCCATAGAAATGTCAGTGTCGACTCTTGGGCTTATGCCAGGACCTTGGGTTCGGGGCTGAGGGCTGAGCCCTGGGAATGTAAAAACGAGGAGGGCACAGCCTCTGCCTGTGGATTCAGTCTGGTCGGACCCACTGCTGGGAGCATCACAACCACCGCCACCCCTTCGGAGAGAGAGCCTGCCGGTCAGGACAATGTGGGGTGGTACCATGCTCCCTGAGGCCACCTTCCACCCTGGTAGAAACCAAGGGAAGGCAGGGATGGCCCAGGCACAGGTCCTTGGTTCTTTTTCAACCTGCAGATTGAAAGCGGATCAGACGGTAGCTTGGCAACCTGTCCGAGAGGATGAGGGCTTCCCTGCTGCTGGAGATATCATGATGCTCGACTGGAACCGTCCTCCCCTGGGGCCAGTGCAGAATGGGCAGGGCAACAGGACCTCCCCCTTACCCCCCATCTCAGGAGGCCTGGTTCAGCCTACAGCTCAGGGACCTTCAACAGGGACGGGACAAAGAGGGAGAGAGGTAAAGGGAAGGGCTTGGGTATCAGAGAAGGACCAGGTCAACAGAAAAAAGTCAGTGGGGGTGTCAGCTCCTCCCCCAAGTCCTCAGGCCCCATGGCCCACTCATACCCAGAGAAGACTCCAATAACACCTAAGAATAAATCCTGCTCTAAGCACTTCATGTATGGACTCACCTAAGTCCCCGAGGTAGGTGCTATCACCCCACTTTACAGACAAAGGGAATGCAGCCTGGGGACTGCTAGGTCTTGATGCATTTGCACCCGGGCTTTCCGCTCAGGACCGGGCTCCTGTCCTACAGCCCCCCAGGCCTTGCCTGCACCTGTTTGTTTGCCTGTGTTTGCACATCACCTGTGCCATTTACTTGGTGTCTTCCGGGCAACAATTTATTGGCATAAATCCACTCCGCCCTGAATTAAAAAAATCTTAACCACACGGTAAGAAGACGTAGGAGCAAAAGCAAAGGCGATCACCACCATGTACAATGTTATCAAATTCTCCCCAGGTACTGTTGCTCGTCAGACCCCTGGCCTGCAACCTTCTCTCTGCTGGCGAAGCAGGAATATGGAACACACATGGGAGAGCTGGGGGAGATCCCCAGGGGGAGATCCTTGGGGAGCACAGCACTTCATGACTACAAGGTGGGAGTTGTGACACCGTTTCTGCCACGTGGCACACGGCCATGTGTGGACGAATGCTCCAGCACGCACACTCGCGGCCGGGCCGCGGCAGGCCCCCAGCACGGACTTACATTGGTTCTCGAAGAGCAGAACCTGCATGCCGTACAGGGAGAAGGACTGTCGGAAGCTGTACGTCACCGAGTTCTTCTTTTTCTGGAAGATCTTGGTCACCTGGGGGCAGCCAGAGACAGAGGCTGAGTCGTATCGCCTGTACTGCTCAGGGGCAACTCTGGGCGCTCGGGATTCTGACCGAGACTAACGTCAAAACCCTCTCGGCAGTGCAGAGGTCGGGAGGCCTCTGGGGCAGGGCAGGCCTGTGTGTCCAGGCACATCCTGACATGGATGCTGGCTTCCGCTCCCGTGAATCCCAGCTGTCGTCCTGGCTGGCGATGAAGCCCCTCAGCAGAGAGGTGGCAGGTGCCACGCTGCACACGACCCCGAAGGCGCCAGGCCGGGCTCTGACACCCAGGACCCCACCTGAGCTCTGTGACTGCCTGAGAGATTTTGGAGGAGGAAACGGAGGCTCAGGAATTTGAAGTCACTTGCTTGAGGTCAGGGACTCTTGACAAAGACTTGAAACCCACAGGTCCAGATTCCAACCTCAGCAGTCAGAGAGAAGTGGCTGGTCCTCAGGCAGGTAGGGGTCAGGGACAAGGGCCTCTAGCAAGAAAGCCCAGGGCATGCAGGAGAGACAAAGACCCAAGGGACAGTTTCCCCCCGTTGTCTCCAGGGGCATCTTTATCCCCGGTGGCCACCATCCATGCCACCTTTTTCTGGGCAAGAGCTCCGCAGTTTCCCTTTGGGGAACCCCCTCTCTGCCACCCGGCACTCCTGGGGGTGAGCAGTGACCCAGGTTTAGCCAATGAGACAACACTGCACCTGCCTGGCCCCTGTGAGCGGCTCAGGCATGGGCACGGGAACCAGTGAGACCTCTGCCCGGACTCTTCCCAAGAAAATCCCCCTGGTGGCCGGGGATGCAGGGAGGGGGCAGGATTAAGCCTGTAACTGCTGAGACTGACTTTCTCTTTGTGGACAGAGCTCCTGAGAAGGGAGCCCACGCAGCTGAGAGACAGAGAGCCTAATAAAGGAGTCCCGCTGACGCTGTGTAAGCTTCTAGAAATAGTTGGGGCTGAAGCCCCACACCCCCCTCCGGGCTTTTACATAAGCTGACGAAGCCCCGTTTTCGTTGGCCATGCTGTGAGTTAGATTCTGCCTCTTGTAACCCAAGACCGTGGGGCTGACTCCATCCCCTTCACCTCCACCCTACGCACGTGGGTGCCTTTCCCCAAGCGCAGGCGCACAAGGCCAGATGGGAGACCGGAGCTGCAGTTCAAGGCCGCCCCGTGCCACGGGTCCCAGCCACGACACGCTCTGGGGAACCACATACCACCAGGAGGTCGTTAAACAGGAAGATTTCTCGCTGGTGCAGCCCGAGCTTCTGGGGCTTGTTTGGGTCTGGAACCTCGAAGAGCCGGCAGTAGCAGACCAGCCGCCGGTGGGGCAGAGAGAGCACCTGTATGGGGAGGAAGCGCTGCATCAGCCCCCAGCCCCTCCACTGCAGCCCCTGTGCGCTGGGAACCCAGCCTGTGGGCCTGGCCTTCGAAAACGCCTTCTCCCACCAACTGCACACAGCAGATGTGTCTGGACTCCTTGCAACTTTCCCTGCTCTTCCTCAGGAGCTCTCCTGAAGGGCCATGGAAAGCGTCCCTGCCTCTCACGACACCTCCTTTCCTTTCCTTCAGGCAGGTCCCAGACATCTTAGAGCATCACGTGCACACGGGAGCCCCCACAGTGAGGAATTCGTGATTTCTCAGTCCCCACAAAGTGCCCATCACACACATAAGCCTGTTAGTCCCGGCAAAGATTTCTCCAGAGTGTCTACTTGAGATGAGGACACTGAGGCACAGAGAAGTTGAGCAACTTGCCTCAGCCACACAACTGGGAAGGTGCAGAGCCGAGAGAGAGGATTCCAGGCCCCTCCTAAAGAATCCCGACGCTTTTGATGGTTCCCTGCCCCAACTCCTGGGCCGGCAGCCACACCACCCCGTGGGGCCTGGCCTGGGCCTCCACGCGGAGCACGCCTGCCATGGGTTCACGTGAGCCCCCACTCTGCCGAAGCCCGAGCCACTCACAAGGCCAGGTACAACCTGTATGGTGTCTAAGGGCTGCGGTGACAAGTCACTGGGGAGGCCCAGTGGCGGCTCTGAGAGCACCCAGGCTCACGCAGGAGACAGCAGGTTAGTAAAGGGATGTGCTGGCAGGGAGGGTTCACTCTGCAACGGGTGCCCTGGTGGTGGGAGGCCCGAGCTCAGCGCATCAGGAAGATGGGAGGAAGGGCTTGGCCCAGGCTGGCATGCTCAGGGAAGGGCATCGTTTGGAATAAAAGCGTGAAGGGGAGAGGGTGGCGGGAGGCGGGGCCGGAGAGGTGGGTGAGGGCTGGCCACGGCAGCGTCTAGTGGTTTGTCTCTAGGGCAAGGTGGGAAGAGGGGGGAGCAGACAGGTTTGTGGCGCTGACTCTTGCAGTGCAGGCTGTCCGGTGAAGGGTAAAGATGGACACATAAGGAAAGTGCCATGTGACTGCAAGGCTAGCCTTGCTGCTCCTGGGGTGAGCAGGCAGGCAGACCTGCTCAAAGTGGTGACAGTGGAGTGTGGGCGGCAGAGGGCGGGTTGGGTGGGCAGGCCTGCAATGGCCCATCAGCCTCATCTGTTTTGGGCACAGTGCCTCGGGTCAGAGGCAAGCCTTGGCCTCTGCACTCAACCGGGCCGGGTGAGAGGGAGGGACACCATCTGCCCTGGCCTGACGGTACACAACTCTCCCCAGGTGGCTGCAGTCTGGGCCTGCAGAGGTTCGAGGCTGGGAGAACTATGAAAATCAAATTTCTTATCACTCCGGAAAGGAACTCAAGCAGCCAGAATTGTGGATCTGGGAACCAGGGGATGCAGGGAGGTGAACACACAACATGGTGGACCTCCCCGCCCCCACCCCAACCCCAACCCCAACCCGGGGCGGGATGTCAGCCAGGATGTAAAAGCAGAGGGATACTCACACAGCCAAGCCCGTGATGCAGGGATCCAATCTATGTGGGAAACATTAAACAAACAAGAAAAGATATTAATGATCCAAAGCATGCACCCGGGACCTGAGGGAGCTAATGGGATGACATCCGAGTAGGTAAGCACCCCTCCAGAGGCACGTTCCCATAGCCTTTGTCCAGACATCCACACACAGCTCAGGAGACCTCCTTGCTGCCAGAACTTAGGAAGGCCGATAAGGGCATTCCCAGGCCACCAAGGGACCACTGCGCAACTTGGGCTGGTTTCTTAAGAGCCTCAGGCTCTCTTTAAATATAACCCAGGGCCAATGGTTATTATTCCCCAATATCAGGTAGGAGCCACCCTAAACCTAAAGGAACCGCCCCCCCCCCCCCCCCCCCCAACTATGCCCCGAAGAAGCCAGGTTCCAAATGGCATCAGGGCCCCTGTCCAAAGCTAATGCCAGTGGGGCAGGCCTGGGGTTGCATGGAGTGGGGGTGGGTGGGAGTGAGGGAGCCAGGGATGCAGGGCCACCACATACCGGCTTTTTCCCCACGATGAGCTTTTCCACCTTCTGCACCTGGGACACGTGGTCCTCGTTGGTTTTCAGTTCCCGCTTGCGAATGCGCTCGTAGATCCCAATTAGCATCTCCCGGGGAATGTCCTCACCATCGTCCACACCTGAGCAGGAGACAGTAGCCAGACATCAGGGCAGGCCAGGGTCTGGGTGGCTGTGGCACCGCTCAGCTTCGGGGCCCCAGGCTCACCCCTGATTTGCCAAGTTTCTAAACCCAATCAGAATATCAATCCCTTTCATCAATCCTCAGCAGAACCAAAGACCTTCCAGACCCACAGCCACTGAACGCCTTCAGTCAATTATGAAATGCCCTAGGATCCTTCCGCCAGGACAAGGCCAGCATAGCCACCCAGATCAGCACTCAGAGGGCTGTGCCAGCTTCCAGCCATGCTCCAAGGGCTTTATAAACATCAGCTTGCTAATCCTGACCATGGCCCTGCTGGGTGGGTGTGACCGTCTCCATTCCGCAGCTGGGAAAGCAAGGCTCGGGGAAGGGCCCGGGGTTGGGGGTGGCTGTGCAAAGCTGGTGTTTGTGGCTTCAGGCTCCCACAGGCGTGGGCCTAAGTTCTTGCCTTGCCCCTCACGAGCCGTGGGACCGAGTCTCTGCACTGGGGGTCCTCTGTGAAGTGGGCCACCAAGAGCACGGGTGACTTCACGAAGGTCTCATGAGGAAGACAGAGCAGCGGCGGTGCGTTCCCAGAAAGTGAGAACTCCATGCACCTGAGCAGCACCACCAGCTGTTGTCCCACGTCACGTGCGCAGAAGCTGGGGTCTGGCCTTGAAGCCGGGTTGTTCTGACGACAGGCATGCACCCTTTCCGCTATACCCTGAAAAACTGCCGTGAGGAAAACTCGGCCCCACTCAAGAGAGAAACGCAACCCCACGCCAGTCCTCAGACCACAGACTGGCAGAGGTCCAGAGGTTTGGTAACCTGCGCAGTTGGCGAGGCTGTGGGAAGGGGTCTCCCACCCACTGCTGGTGGGAGGGTCACAAATATACACTCAAAGCCCCTCTGGGCCACTGGTTGCGTCCTGGGCAAATTTATCCCATGGGCCATGATGCACAGACCAGGTAACTCATGGCAGCATGGTTTCCAAAGAGCGGAAGACTGGGATTCACCCATTTACCCATTAATAGGGGACGGGTTAAGCCATCCCTGCACGGGTGCAATGGAATACCACACAGCTGCCAGGAAAATGAGGACGACCACAGGGAACTGACACGAAACTGTAAGAGGGAGGGTGTGGCCTCGGCACACAGGTCGGGGTGGGAGGGGCTCTGCTACCCACTGTTCATACTTTTTTTTTTTTTTTTAATTTTACAGAGAGAGTGTGAGAGCGGGGGAGGGTGGCAGAGGGAAGGGGGGGGACAGAGAGAGAGGGAGAGGATCCTAAGCAGAGCCCAACACAGGGCTCAATCCCATGACCCCGGGATCATGACCTGATCTGATATCAAGAGTCGGACGCTCAACTGACTGAGCCACCCAGGCACCCCACACATTTTTTAAAACCAGACTATTTTTTAGAACTGTGTTTTAGAGCAATTAAGTTCACAGCAAAATTCAGGGGAAAGCCCAGGGATTTCCCCGTAACACCAGCCCCCACCCACTACCAACTTCCCACACCAGAGTCATATATTTATTAGAACCAGTGAACCCACACTGACACACTATTATCACCCGAAATCCAATCACCCAATAATTTACATTGGGATTCACTCTTGGTGTTGTGCGTTCGACAATAAACGTTTACCGACACGTCTCCACCACCATGGAGTCAGGTGGAATAGTGTCACTGCCCGAAAACTCCCCCGTGCTCCACCTCCTCCGCCCCTCCTCCCTCCAACCCCTGGTGACCACTGATGTCTTACGTCTCCATAGTTTTGCCTTTTCCAGAAGGTCATATGGCTGGCCTCCTATGGTATGCAACCATTTAAGACTGGCTTCCTTCACTTGGTGGTATGCATTTTTAAGGTTCCTCCCTGTTTTCTCATGGCTTCTTTTCTTTTTAGTGCTGAATAATATTCCATTGTCTGCATGGACTACCGTCTATGCATCCGTTCCCCCACCGAACGACATCTCTCGACTGCTGCCAAGTTTTGGCAACTATGAATAAAACTGCTATAAACATCCTGTGCAGGATTTTGTGTGGATGTACGGGGTTTTCAATTCCTTTGGGTAAATACCAAAGAATGTGATTGCTAGCTTGTCTTACTCTGTGTTTTTTTTTTTTTTTTT